TTCGAGCTCATTTTCAGCTTTCCTGTGCTCTACGAGCACGTGTGTTGACGTTCCCTCGTCGCCCATTCCAAAATTGCGAGTATTGCCTTAAGATGGTTCCACTACCACATAAAAGAAACACAATGAACTGTGAGTGCTAGAAGAAAAAAAAAATTCAAGGTCAATTATTGCCCAGCTATTGCCCTTGAGCAAGCAAGAAACGCCATAACAGGCATTCATTACATGAATGACTTGAACACAGCCAATGTTCTGCGCCAATTTTCGGAAAACCTGCCGAGATACCTTGGCAACAAATGGACGGAAAGAGTTGGCAAGATTAGGAGTAACAAGGGACAGGCAGCCAACTTCAATAACGTCTGCCAGTTTGTGTCCAAACAAGCCGATTTTGCAACAGACTTAGTCTGCTCAAAGGAAGGCATCAGCGGACCAAAAGATACAATTGACGAGTACTGCAAGTTGGGCTAAGGCAAGACTAGGAAAGGAAGGCGTGCAAACTTTGCAACAGGCCTCTCAGAAAAGAATGGCACCGAAAAAAATTCTTATCCCATCGGTTGTATCTTGCCCTCCAAAGGGCACCACTACAAAGAGCAGAGTAGTAGAGTGAAGAGACCTTGTTAGAGATGAAGGTTTATGCTTTGGTTGCTATAGTTCTTAACACATCGCCAAGTTTTGCAAGAGTAGAAGATCATGCCACATATGCAATAGGAAACACCCAATGTCACTCTATGATTACAACTGGAGGCCGGATAAATAACAAATAACAAGATATGCCTGTACGCTCTCCTTGATAATGCTGATGGAGGACATATAGAAATAGGACTTCTCATCGGTCTGAACTGTCCCAGCACTGTGAGGCTGACAGATATTTTTATTATATTATTGGAAACGAGGATAAGTCTTATGTGGTACGATCAGCATTGGGATGAAATGTCAACGTTCTTGCAAGCCATAGGAACAGCAAACAAGTACATTGCAACCGAATTCAGGGTCTCAGGAGGAGCACAGATGATGAAGTGAACAAATACATTGTTGCTGAGAGAAAGATCGAAGAACAGCTAACGCCTCAATGGTCTTACAGATGTTTGAGTTGGACTTTGCTGAAAGGGATAATGGAACCGCATTACGTAAAGGGGGAAAATGGAACTGCACTACCTAGAGAAGATCGTCAGTTCCTGAAGAAAGTAGAAGACAGAATCTGCTATAGAGGTGACATGCATCACGAAATACACCTGTCGTTTAGGGAAGAGAATGTCCAACTACCAAATGACCATCTTCAAGCAGTGCAATGCCTGCACAGCCTAAAGAAGAGACTCCAAGGTGACCCGAAGTATCATGCTGACTACACCAGCTTCAAGTATGAAATTATCGTTAAGAGATATGTCTGAAAGGTGAATATTGAGGAACTAGCTCCTCACGAAGGAAACGTCCGGTACTTACCTCATCATGGGAGTTCATCACCCCAGAAAACCAAGCAGCATCTGCGTGGTATTTAATTGTTCAGCTGGTTACCAGGGTGAATCAATCAATCAATATAACAATCGCTTGTTATAAGGGCTCAACCTTACAAGCAAGCTAACTGCAGTCCTCATAAGATTCAGAAAGGAGAGAATGGCTTTTGTGGCAGGCATAGAGAAGATGTTATTTGGAGTCAAAGTAACGAAGAATGATCAGGATTACCTCTGCTTCTTGTGGTGGCCAAATGGAGGCCTGACTCTAGAACCTCAAAAGTACTGTATGATGGCATACCTCTTCAGGGCTGGTTCATCTCTGGGATGTTCCAGCTTTGCTTTGAAATGCACAACGGAAGATGGTGAAGGAGAGTTTGTTGTGAGAGCTGTAGAGACACTAAGGAAGAACTTCTATGTCGACAATGCACTGAAATCAGTTTCGACAGAAGAGGGTGCTGCAGAGCTCGTACATGGTGTTAAGGGGATGTGTGCACAGGGAGGATTAAAACTGAAAATATCGTCAGCAACTGTCGAAAGGTGATGATGACAGTACCCCCTGAAAACAGAGTGAAGGAAATCAGGGGTCTAGATTCAGGCAGCAACAAGTTAGCAATTGAGAGGGCCCCGGATGTACGATGGTGTATTGAATCAGATGCATTTAAACTCAGAACTGAGTTGAAGCAACCATAGGCTCGATCTTTTACCCATTAGGACTCATTGCACCTGTCGTCCTTGTTGGGAAGCAGAAACATCAAGAGATCTGTCTCAGGAAAAGCTGAGATGAGCCAATCAATGGAGAAGTTCTTGCTATATGGGAAAGGTGGAGAAATCAGTTACTGTTATTTTAGCAGCTGGGCATCCCAAGGTATTTCAAGCCTCCTGATTTTGGAAGAATTACCACTGTGCAGCCACATGAAATGTCAGATGCATCGCAAAGTGGATACGGACAATGCCCTTATCTCAGGTTAATTGATGAAAATGGTAGAGTTCATTGTTCCCTCGTAATGGGTAAAGCTCGTGTAGTACCACTGAAAATAGACTAATAGAAACGTACTTCCTACCCACAAAACCAAGCTAATACTCCCTCCCCCAGGAAAGTTCCAAAGAGAAGATGTTTACTGCAGGCGACACTGCAGGCGTGTAAAGCATATTACTAATAAATTTTGGAACAAGTGGCGTAAAGAGTACTTGCAGAGGCCTACGACTGAGACAAAGGTGGACATGACGGAAAAGAAACTTCGCGGAAGGTGATATCGTTGAAGGATACACTCTCAGAAACAAGTGGCCCATGGCTAGAGTCCCTGTTGCAGATCGAAATAACAATGGGTAAGTCAGGTCCGTGACTGTCCAATCTGCAACTGGGTCAATGTTGGATCAACCAGTTAAGAAACTCGTACTGCTCTTAGAGTCACCTGAGGAAAGACCGGAAATCCCCGACGAGGAGCCAAAGGAACTGTTTTCTGAATGACAATCATGATACACGGAACATTTAGCATATTTAAGTACACTGAACGATTTAGAGAAAAATCTGTTTGGGTCGAAATGATGAACATTTAAGGAGAGTTTCCAATGTTTCTACTGTTTCCAATGCTAGTTTCTGACATTGGTTATCCTGTGTATTCAGACCAGTCCATCGGAGCATATTCGGTTAAGTGGTTCATTCCAGTCCAGGTCAAACCTCAGCGCAGTGCTGGGCCTTTTTTTTTTTCGCTTTGTTCATGATTTGCTTGCATACAGCTAAAGGACCATTTTCTGAAGTGTCATTTGTCAAGGAACTTACGGGAAACTAAAGGATTGAACATTGTGTAGGCTCGCGGATTAACGATTAGGGTAACACGATTTTTGCATAGTAAACCACTGGACAGTATGGAGCGTTTCGCTGATCTAGAGGAGTAAAGAATAGATTTCAAGGCTGATAGAGATATCAACTGCCACCACCTCGTACACCACCAAAATCGGATGGTAGTGGCGTGCACATTACAACATACAACAGTTATTGATGCCATATACATTACCTCCATTTGTAGGTAGTTGATCTAAAGGGGGAGAAGTGTATCCTCAAGCACCACCACCATAGTTGGCCTAATAACGCAGGTACCATAGGTGCTGGTCCTAACAAAAGCAAAACAAAAAAGACAACCTCAGGAAAAGCACTACTGTAGAGCAAAAACTCACCATTCAACCGAGTTCCTTTAGTGAGTGCAATTTTGTTAATAAAGCATTGTTCAATTATGATATAATTCACTGAATAAAGTGAATGGGGATAAAGCAGTTTATGGGTGTGTTTTTTCAGGGATTAAATAAATTATAAACATAGGATAGGATACTATGTTATCAATCTTGATGACAGTGTGGATGGTGGTAATCATTGGGTTGTTACAAACATCAAAAGAGATAATTGAATACCTTTGGTCCAAAAGAGCTTATGAAGTTATAAATCGATTAAATCTCAATTATGTGTAAAACAGTACACATTATCAAGATTTGTTCAGTGTCTTATGTGGATACTATTGTTTGTATTACATGGATGACGACAGTAGGGGGACCACATATTGAAATGTCGTGAAAGTGTTTTCCCATACTAATTGTGCTTATCGTGGAAATTCATAAACAGTATTTTGTATAAGCATTTATTAATATATAGATTTAGCCAAGCCTAAAAGTGGAGCTCTTATTAGTTTATTTCCAGCCCTTTATTATAATAAATAAAAACTGTAATGACACTTGTCCGCACAGGCTGTAGAAGAGCTTCTTATTAAAGGCCAGACGAGGTCTGGAACCTGGGGACGATGTTCTCAAAACACGCATGCTAGTCAGCTGTATCTTCAAACGACTGACGAACTGTTCCTGATGTTTTGAGCAAATATTCGATGATTGGGAATATTATCTTCTTCAGATGAAGTGTATGATGACAGCATCAGTTTAAATTATATTCTATTAAGCGTGAATTGTAATCTCGGTTGGGAAATGGGCCAAAATTGGGCCAAAATTGAAAGAAATGATGGTAAACAACTTTGCATTCAGACATCACTAGTGGACTGGAGTATTTGCACGTGAGCACAGTGATCAGTAAAACAACACGCCAGAATCGTATGGGCTTCTCTTATATCTTCTATTGAAGTTAGCAGGTATGACTGCTTGCCCCACCGTTCTCCCTAACATTTCAGCCTCCTCTGTTTAGCGTGGAAAATTAAAAAGAAAATTAATTTTAAACTCAAGTTTGAACCTGTAATTTTTTAAAACTTTTTCGCTTTTGGCTAGTTTCATGATTGTCCTCTGGCTGGAAATACAAGATGTCTTTTTCTGATATTTTCTGTTGTTTAATTTGGTAACCTCTTGTGTAACTGCATATAATGTAGACGTCTTCAAGAAAAAAACGCGAGATAAGAGACACCATGCATTAATGAAAGCTTGAGCACGAGTATTAAATGCAATCTGAATAATAATATTACATGTTACAATAATCACACAATTCCAAAGAGAAGAAGTCAGGTTACTGACCCACCCACCTCAACTTTTGAGAAATAGACACGGTAAACAATTACAATTAATGCAAAGTTGAAAGTTTGAAAGCTAAAGAATATACGTTACAATCATCACACCCTATGCATCTTGGCAAAAAAAGTCAATTACCACCATACCTTTTCCCAAACGTTCATGCCTACAGGAAATCATTCATTTTTGTTACTCGGTGGTACTGAACATAAAATACTTCTACTGACACAAATGCATTTTACAAAAGTTATCTCATCGCATATGACTGGTCATGTGGATGTTCCTGCATGGGGACTAACATCTCAATTACCCCAACAAACTTTAATCATCAGAATTGCAAGCTGAGGTGTATTTACGAAGTGCTCGAGTTTCCAAATCAGTTACCCTACTCAGTTGCAGTGGATTTCACTCCTTTTTGAGGCTATCTTCAACTTGATCATCCTGTTACATGTGAAAACATCAAATGTTACTCACATATACAAATAATCACCTAAATGAAAAGTTATAATTTTTTTAATAAACTGCTCCCTTTAACCCTTTAACTCCCATGTGTGACCAAGAAAGAATTTCTCTTAACAATATCAATACGATATCAATCAGGCAAGTAATGAGAATAAATAAAAATAGTAATTAGTAGATAATTGGTTGATCCAATACAAAATTCTCAAAACTAGCATCAAAAGAACTATGTGGCAAACAATAAGGAGAATTACTAGTGAGCTATTGCGAGTGTTTCGTGTTGTTCTATACTACAAGAAACTCAACACGCCATGTTGGAGGCACGCAACTACTAGCAGTGAAATCACTGCATATTTTTAATTAAGCCAATAACCAAATAAGGTAAGCTGTCAATCAAATTGTACATATTGTAACAGCGAGTTAAATTAAACTTTGTCATGAATGTTACCCTCTAACTCCCATGAGTGACCAAGAAAAAGTTTGTGTCTACAATATCAATTCTTCTAAATTCTCTTAACTAACATTGTAAGAATTGTAGGGTTGATAATAAGGAGAATTATAAATTTGATCTGGGAGTTAAAGGGTTAATTGAGATGGCAACCAAAACATCTGTAGACTATAATAACAAAAACCTTTGCATGCAAACAAACCATAATGAAGAATGTAATGAATTAATTTAATCTCACTCAGTTTGAATGCAGAATCCAAAATCTAATTAATGTACTAGGAAATATGAAAAAGCCCAGTGTATTTTTCCTGCTTCTGTTGTTCTAAATATCACAAATCAACCACACCACCACTTCAGTGTGATTATTTTGAGGGTGTGTAATTTTTCATATGGACAACTATTCTTAGTATCTATCTTTTACCAGCTGACATCTGAGAAGAATCAAGTCCACACTGGTAATTTGACACATAGCAGGCAAACCCTACTACTGATTAAATTTTATTTGAATAAAAAATATGAAGGGCAATGGGGGAAATTACCTAGCAAAATTCAAGTTTCCCTTCTTAAGTATTCTGATGTGTTTCTTCTATCATATGGTAAACTGAGTTTACAGTTTACCTTGTTTTACTGTCTTCTGTTCATTTATTTGTTTGCTTGCCGAACAATATTAACTATTGTTGCTAACAAATGTTTACAGTAATTAACACTTTAATTCCTGAGAGTGACTAGCATCTAATTTCTCTTTTCAATATCATCCCTGAATCAAGCATTAAGGTCATGAGAATAAAGGAAATGATAATCAACTGAAGAAGCTCTTGATTGTTAAACAAGTTCTCCTTGCTGGCACATTTAGGACAGTACGGAGAATATGCATACTGATGTTAGGGTGTAAAGGGGTAAAGACATCATGTAATCAGCTTTATATATGTAGAGTATTGTTTGAATATGTAATTGTGGTAAGTGCAAGTGCCTAGTAAACATCATTCTATGGTCTTCCTCATCTTCCACCTTGGAGGGTGCCTTGTGTACATAAAAATTAAAGTTCAGTGCCTTTAGTAGCTTTTCTGTCTACAAAGATCAACAAAGAACAACAGCCACAACAAAAAATTCTTTTTAAAGACATATCTACAATGGTAGGTACACACCACTGACATGTTTGAGGGAAGCATGTCAAGCATTAAGGTAGGATTGTCAATTTGATTTTCACTACTTGCAAACAGCTTATTTCTATCAGCTTTGAAAACTTCTGTATCCTTGCTTTTGAAGAAAAGCATCACCCATGAACACTTAAACATTACAGTCATAAGCTACCAGCACAGGTTTTTCAATTGTTTCAGAACATCAGATTCTCATCACATTTTTTGTTACATTTGAAAGATAAGAAAATTTTAATCATTACAATGTCATTAAATCCTCCATTTTGACCCTTTTCCTCCCACTAGTGACTAAGACAGAAATTCTCCTTACACTATCAGCATGATATCAAGTAGAATATAGAAAAATATCAATTAGGGAATTGATGGTTGATCCAATTCCAAATTCTACAAACTAAATTAAATCACATAGATTGTATGGCAGACAGTAAGGAGAATTATGTGTAAACCACAAGACTGAATTAATTGACTTTAATTGACGGATACTTAATCACAAACTTCTAACAGTGACAGAACAAAACGGGACGGCCACGCTTAGTAAAACACAACGAGTACATAACGAGTCCAAGTTCCAACATGGCGGTTCTCTCGTGCAGTCGAGCGCGTTTTTTTAATTATCTTTGCGCATGTGCCGCACGCACACCAGAGGTTAATAGGATTGCGGTCTAAACTACTAGTCACCAGATTCCACATACTGGGGGCGGAGGCGTGAAGCAATTCGTTTGCTTCTTCTGAGTGTTTCGACCTGTGGAATCTGCAGTTCAGTTCCTGTAAAGTGTTCCTTAGAGTCCGTCAGTGTGACTTCCAAGGGATACAAGAGATGTATTGAACGGTTGGTGACTCCGGAGTTTGTTCTGATCTCTGCCGCTCTAACTAAGCCATCACTGCCACGGAGAACTTTCTTTACAATGGCTAACTTCCAGGAGCTACGAGGAACATTTTCAGCGTGCATAAGTACGACATCCCCGACTTTAATGATCTCCTCCTGCGATCCTCGCTTCTTAGACTGATACACATGACGCTCCCGCAGCGAAGCAAGGTACTCACTCTTGAACCGTTGGACAAAGTGCTGAAATAGCAATGAGCGTCGTTTGAAGGCCTTATTGAGTTTATCATGTTCATTGAAGTTTTCATCCTCCGACTCGTCAGGATCAACAACAGGGTGTGACAAAGCTGTAACATCGAACCCATACAGCAACTTTGACGGTGTCAAGGGCTCTGGATCATTCACATCATGGTAGACGAATGTGATTGAGCGATCATTCACAACTGCTTGAACCTCTTTGATGAGTGTTTGTAACTCGGGTAGACTAATGAGCGCGCAATGAAGAACTCTCTTGATTGACAACTTAACCACTCCAATCAGTCGCTCATGCATGCCTCCCCAGTGCGGTGACTTGGCAGGAATATGCCTCATCTGAACTCTCTTCTGGGCAAAGTGATGCTGCACGGTTTGATCTTCTATGACTTGGAACAACTTCTGAATTTCTTCATCCCCTTTCTGGAATGTTTTGGCATTATCACAAAGGATCAGTGAAGGAGTTCCATAGATGGCACAGTGACGCCTGAATGCAAGAAGGAACTGATCGGTCATGTCATCAACAATCTCCAAATTTACATTGCGAGTGTTGCTACAGGTGAACAGGCAGACAACATTTCTCTGTCTTGTTACCATTCTTGACCATCAGATGGCCGGTAAAATCAATCCTCACTGTAGAGAATGGTTTCACCTTGTTGAGGCGAAAGTCAGGCAAGGGGGGTGAATGGGGTAGCTTGTATGCTCCCCCTATCTGGTATCGGCATTTGACACAATGCTTGAGCACCCTTGCAATTTCACTTCGTGCTGATGGCAACCAAAATCTCTTACGCAGTGCTACAACAGTGTCTCTTACTCCAGCGTGGAGCTGTCTCTCGTGAACTGAACGAACAAGCAGAGTTGTGAACTGAGACTTTTTAGCAATGAGAATTGGTTCTCTTGCATCTTGTTCGAGCATTGCATGCTCGAGTCTGCCGGGGGCAACTAGAAGGCCATTTGAGTTGAGCTTCAGATTAAGTTGACGAACCAACTGAGGTCTGGGTTTGAAGTGCTGACGGGTGGGTCATGACTGCTTTGTACAAAGATAGTCTCGATCTTGCCTGAAATGCTGAATCTGGTGAGCACGAAGAAGTACGACTTCTGCTTGGGATATTTCAGCAGCTGTGGGAACTGGAATTACCAAGTCAATGACTGACGGGCATTGGCGTGACCCATGTGACTTACTAGAGGCATGCTTCAGGTTGGAAATGAATCCCAAGACATAAGACATCGTGCAAAGCATGTTTTCATAGGACTGGAAGCGTGAGATGTCAATCAAGTCTTGGAGACTGCCTGTGTTAGACTGCTTATCAGGAACATGACTGTCCACAGCTGTCGCTTAGACAACATCATCTTTTGCAAAGCTCTTAGGACTCCATCTTGGCCAGAGTGAATGGGCTGTTAACCATGGAGGACCTCTTTGCCATAGCGCTGATTGTAGGAGCTCATCTGCACTGCATCCACGGGAGAGTATGTCTGCAGGATTGTTTGCTGAACTGACATGGGACCAGCTGGATAGGTCAGTAAGCCTCAAGATCTCTGTTGTCCGATTGCGAATAAACACTAGGAGTTGCTTGGTACTGTACAGCCAATGGAGACAGATGGTGGAGTCAGTCCAGTAGTAGGATGAGATGAATGGGAAATCCTTGTTGAAAATTTCTCTTATGCGACCAAGGCGAGCACCCATTACCATGGCAATTAATTCCCACTGGGGAACTGTTCGTGCATGTTTAGATGAGGAAAGTTTGACCTTGGAGCCAATGAATCTGACCTTCTGATTCTGAGCAAAGAAGACACAGTAACCAGCTGCAGTAGTGGGGCATGCATCACAAAATACATGCATTTCTGCTGGTAAGGCTTTGTCAAAGTCCAAATAACGTAAGGTGACAAATGTTGAAGCTGCTTCTATTTCCTTGGCGAT